ACGATATTTCTTTTTGGTGAAGAGAGCTGATGCGGGACCATTGGGCAGAGCCAACCAAGCGTCGTCCAAGCTAGCTGACCGCGGGGGCCTACTTGAAGGCATAGTTGAGCTACCATACTATGAACTAGGCGAAGCACCGTTTTTTAATGAAGAAGCAAATGGTCCGGTCAGTAGCATACTACTAACAAATCTAGCCAGACGCACACTGTGTCGTGGCGGCTAGACAGCTGGGTAAGGGAAATCAATGCTGGACCAGTGAGCTGATAACCAATAACTTACCCTACTACTCACTAATTCTCGGTGATTGCCTTAACAACTTGCATGCCACCTCCATTGGTGACGGATTACAAGGGAATCGTTGCTCGGGGGCCAGCCCTGTCCTCTGCACGTTCATAACATACGTGACACTGGAGGATGTGCCGCGCTATATCGCAGCTAGATAACAGTCATGATGGTAGGCTGCCGTCACACATGGCTCAGTAGCATAAGTCGCTGGCTTGTACTAGTAAGATCGTGGGTTCCAATCCGGCAAGATTCGGCGGGGGCTTGCTACTGACGAGTCCCAATAAGATGAAACGGCCGTCTAGTGTCTCCCTGGATGTGTTGTAGCTGTCTAACTAAGTCTACCTGCTTCGGATCTTCACCAAAACCTAATAGCTCCCCTACTACTCACTGATTATCGGTAATCGCATTAGCAGGTTGCATGCCACCTCAATTTTTGGCGGTTTACAAAATGGTCGTTACTAGGGGGCAACCCGTGTTCTCTGCACGTTCATAACATGCATGACATATAACCAGTCACTTTAGATGGGCTTTGACATTGTCCAACACATGTGTAGCCTCTCCTGATAGTGCTACCTAACCTCAATACTGTCCGATTCGCCTGCTCGCTGCTGTTTATGGCACTATCTGTCTTTCAGGAATGTGACCATGTAATTTCATCATATCATGTAATTGCTGTACCCCGGGTCCTTAGTATCTCTAGGACGCTTTTCCCTGAGTTCATCCTATCCAACGGCATCTATTGGGGCCGTCCTATTTCACTTTCTTATCGAGACAATCGTGTTCTGAATCTTCTGCCAGCTGATTGGTTGAGCGAAACATTGCTCCCATGGAAGTGTTTTCAAATCGGCTGACGCAAGATGTCTTACTCTTCTCTCTACATTAATTGGACAAGTCACTATTGGCGCCTCTGTATCCACTCGATTGCTTCTGGTTCTGGACTCCATCTGAATGATGTGATCTTTTTCCCTATATTTCCTTGTCTCGTTATTTTGCGACACGTGTGAAGGCCACTGGTTCCACCGAACTTTGTTGCTCTGATTGTGGTTGGTGAATGGATTTTCGTTTTTGTTACAACGGGCCATGGAAGTTAGCTTTGAACCAGTCGACATTATGATCTGCGTTACATTTATGTACCGAAACCTGGCCCACCACGTCGGCAGACATAAAGTGGCTAGCTACATTCGAATATCACTTGCTTCCCAGCTTAGCTCGTGTCTGGTGGGAGCACTGCGTGAGCAATGGGCATTTTCGGCGCCTTGTCTATTGCATAGGAAGAGCAAATGAACCGCTCAGCGACGTTATATCACGCACCAGGCTTTGATGACGGGGCCTTGTGTTACACGTGGCGGCACACCGACTCCCGCGACGTGCGCCTTTTGCGCTTCGGGGTTATGGATGGAAGAAAAAGTGGGGAGGCAAAGCGATGACTTGGTCGAGAGGAATAAACTCCCTCACTTCGAGCTTAGCGTCTGTTGTTGTCTCCCGACCGCGGGGCTGGGGACTGAAGGACGGTGAACACGTTTGGCTGGATACATTAGTTGACAAGGCAATGAGTCGACTTCGTTGAGCTTTATACTGTGAGTTTCATTGTCCCTTCCCATCTTGCTTATATTCCCCTTCCAACCACTATCTGTTTTGAAGCGCGACATGATAGCAAGCGGTGTATTGCCTGTTATTTGTGTTCCATAATATTTCGGATCTTGCCTTTTCGTGTGTGTTTTATATTGCGGCACAATAGTTGAAGTGTATTTCTCGCCTTCAGCTAATGTGTGATGATGATCTCGAGACAGGCGCGTCCCGTACGTCACTCCACACACATCTTCCTCACAAGTTTTGGCGGTTACCATGACCTAACTCACATGTGGTGCTGTAATCTTAGCTGTGTTCTCGTTTGCAAAACAGGCAACCAATCAAATCCAGTGCGACGGAAGCTGACACTTTTGGATGTGTGTTTGCTTCGGACTCTGCTTTGTGAGGGACTTATCAACACCAGTAAACCTATAGAATTGAAGACTGGTAGCTCAGGTTGTTCAGATGGCAGTTGAACTGTTCGCTGAGCTTGGCAATTTGGTTGCAAACGTTTCGTCACCAATCGAGGTGACATCATCAGTGCGTAGTTGAGTAGCGTGCAGTAGCGTAGAATAGCGTAGGGGAGCCTCGGTAAGAGTGCGCTGAGCGTGGTGTGCGTGCGTTTTTTATACCGCGGTGGTTGCCCGTGGAGGCGAGCAATTCTATTGGTTGGGATTTCGATCCGCCTTCAGCCTGATTGATGGGCAAGTGACCTATGACCTTGACTGCTTGTGTTTCGTGGTCTTTGTCTGCTTGCGCTTGTGGGCGAGTCTGCCGTCAATCCTGGTTGGCTAGCCACACGTTCCACCGGATTCAATCGATTGAGTTGGCGGTCTTTCGCCAGTAGTGTTGCGTATACTGGATCCAGTTCGATGTGTCGATTGATTGAATTCGTTGTGGAGTACCAGGCTTCCAAAAACTCTCTGGCATGTTTTGTACTTCCATGTGCTAAGATCTTAACATGCTCCAGATCGAAATGGTGGCCTTCTTGATCTTCGTGCACAGAAACCAATGAGTGCGGATCATGTCTTCTGACGGCCGCCTTGTGTTCGGTGATTCGTGTACAAAGCTTCCTTCCAGTTTGTCCGACATAGTTTTTATCGCAGTCGCCGCATTTTAGCTGATAGATGACATTGCATTGGTCGGCTTGATTGACTTTTCCTTTGGGTCTTGAGATCAATTTCCTTAGGGTAGCACTTGGTTTGTGAGCCACAGAGATCCCATATGACTGTAGCAATCTTCCTGTTAGTTCGGAGACGTTCTTTATGTAGGGGAGCACTATTCGTCTGTTTGCTTGCTCAGGTGCCTGCTGCTGCTGTTGTCGTTGATGATGAGACGTTCGTTTCTTTAGGCTTCTTCTGATGAAGTTTCTCGGATAACCGTTGTTTTTGAACACTTGGTATAGATGCTTTTCTTCCTGTTTCCGCAATTCGGCTGTGCTGCAGTGCGTTTCCGCTCTTTTGAATAGGGTTTGAATACAGCTCTTCTTGTGATTCATCGGGTGGTTGCTGTGAAAGTTTAATATCTGGTCCGTATGCGTTTTCTTCCGATAAACGCACGTTTGCAGAGATCCGTTGGGATTCCTAGTGACCAGTACATCCAAAAATGGCAACCTGTTATTCTTCTCTAATTCAATCGTGAATTTGATATCGTCGAATGTGTTGTTGAGCAACTCGTGCGTGGCTTGTACTTGGTTCCGTTTTACGATAACAAACGTGTCGTCCACGTATCGTATCCAGAGTTTTGGCCTGATAGATGGCAGTGCGATGCGCTCTAATTTCTGCATTACGGCTTCTGCAATGAGTCCCGAAATTGGAGATCCCATGGGAGTTCCTCTCAATTGTTGGTATACTTGTCCATCAAAGCGGAAATAAGTGGTCATGCAAAGGTTCAGGAGTTCCCAAAAACTTTCCGGTTTTAGAGTTGTCGTTGGGCATAGTTGGTTCTCAAGTAGTTCCATCATGGTTTCTTTGGTCAATTCGAATTGGCCAAAGAAACCATGTGGTCCGTTCATCGCCACCGTAAGTAGTAAGCAGAAGGTCAGGAAACTCTATGCACGTCGTCGTAGTGGAGCAGAGTTCACGTAGGGTAAGGCAAAAGCTTGACCACTCGCTGTCGGCGCTCGATTGGGGCTCGGGTGACCAGTTGTTAGCGGAAATGAGAAGGTTCAACTTTCCGTAATCAGTCCAGCGTTTGGTATAAGATGGCGTGCTTACGAGTTTTTCGGCGAAGCATATAAAATCGAAACAGAGGACGCAGTGGTCGCTAAGCCCCAAAGGGGCATCATACTCAACGTGCTCAACTATCAGTTCTTCTTTAGTGAGGACGAGATCTAGCAGGGGCGGTTTGTTGTTGGATCGGAATCTGGTCGGCTGATACGTGTGGTTGTACGGCGAACACAAGGCGGCCGTCAGAAGACATGATCCGCACTCATTGGTTTCTGTGCACGAAGATCAAGAAGGCCACCATTTCGATCTGGAGCATGTTAAGATCTTAGCACATGGAAGTACAAAACATGCCAGGGAGTTTTTGGAAGCCTGGTACTCCACAACGAATTCAATCAATCGACACATCGAACTGGACGCAGTATACGCAACACTACTGGCGAAAGACCGCCAACTCAATCGATTGAATCCGGTGGAACGTGTGGCTAGCCAACCAGGATTGACGGCAGACTCGCCCACAAGCGCAAGCAGACAAAGACCACGAAACACAAGGAGTCAAGGTCAAAGGTCACTTGCCCATCAATCAGGCTGAAGGCGGATCGAAATCCCAACCAATAGAATTGCTCGCTTCCACGGGTAACCACCGCGGTATAAAAAACGCACGCACACCACGCTCAGCGCACTCTTACCGAGGCTCCCCTACGCTATTCTACGCTACTGCACGCTACTCAACTACGCACTGATGATGTCACCTCGATTGGTGACGAAACGTTTGCAACCAAATTGCCAAGCTCAGCGAACAGTTCAACTGCCACCAGTAAACCTATCTTTATAATCGATTGATTCTCAGAAGAGCCAGAAACCTGATCCACTCTGTGGTTTTGTCTACCCTTATACTTTCCGATGTCTGAATTTCTATTGCTTCTTGCATTCTAAATGGGGCGCTTGCAATTAGCTATTTTCTTGCCCCTCTACTTATAGCGCTTGATATCTACGAATGACGGCGAGCACCTATCAGCAATATCATCCTCTAGCCTCCCACTTTTGCGAGATATTAACGTACCACAATTGCGGCATTTGGTGTGTAAATATCTTCCTGCATCTCAGTGTGCAGCTACCGATTGGGCTACTTTTTATACTGCTTGCGCGACACCCGGCACCTCCGATATAACTTCGCCGAACTCGCTCTTATTGAATCCATTACAAAAGGATATCCTGTCTACCTATAGACGACTGCATTCACGTCTACACAATCCGTCATATCCGGTTCGCATGATCTATCAGTCCACTCCATCGGAAGCATTCTTCGCTTGGGTATGTGTATTGACTATCTATTTGTCGTCTTCTACCGTTGTGGCAATGTTTTTTTCTTTCAAACAATTACTTTCATACCGTGTACGCTTTGTTTAAGTTCCATATAAGTCATCACAGCATTATTCTGAATTTTGACATTTTCCATCTTTTGTTACTCTGAGAGTATCGTAAGTGATCATCGCAGCTCACCACATCTCAGCACTAAACATCTCTTCCGGATCGGGTCGATAGTGAACAAATCACAGCATTGCCTTCTGTCGGCGAAACCCACAATGCCCATCAAGCCTTTACTTATTCCTAATTTACCTACCTCATTTTCGCAAACTTCCCCTACAGATACGCACGTGTACAAGCCATGTCACTTCGAAATCTCCTTCAGACCTTCCTCACTATTCCAAATGCTCTAAAGATATTTGACTCACAGCGAACACTAGAAACATTGACATAAGTTGGTATAAAAAACATTTGCTAGTAGCTTACAGCTAGCTTATCCACTACATATCATTACATACCATACCAAATCCTGTGTCTTTGCAGCCTAATAGTCCCTTCCTTTATTGTCTACTCCTGACGATACAAACATCCGTAAATTTTACATATGAGTTGCGCGGGTCTAGGACCCAACGAAAAGTAATCATGATCCGAAATGCTATCAATAAACTTTTCTTTGATGTTATGAAACGTGTTCACTATACAAATGATCGCTCCCGCTTATGGGCCCGTGTACCGTCCGCCGGCAAATATACAAATTTATTTATTTATATAAATTGATGGCCATCGGTACAAAGGTAGAAGTTAGTTACAGACAATCATTATTATTGCACATTCAGATCACATGATTTGCGACAGACGACTAAGCCGTCCATCTGTGCGTGAACCATTTATCGGAGTTGACCGAAACTCACATTTGATTTTTGGAGCTCGCACCATCTATTTGTTTTGTGACACACAATCTCGTTTGAATCTCGCTTTGCCATTAGATGACCTGCATTTGTTCCGATCCTGATGCCTGCCAACCAAAATGTACTAACTTGTTTTGTTGTATTGTACATACGTTTCCCATGATGGTTTTTCCCGTTTTCTTCTATAGAAAAATGATACATTTGAAGTGTTCTGCACGCTGGATCCACTCACGACCAAACCGAATGCTTCTGAGATCCGTAAGACAATCACCAAGTGGCTGAATTCTAAAAAACACCAGATATTTTCCCTCTCTAACCCGACCTTCTGATCTTACCATTGTTATATCTGTCTCTGCATTTCCACAACAGAGCCCCCAGTTTACCATGCGATTCTTCTGCTGCTTTGCTTTTTTGTTGTGCCATTTCGGTTCTGTTACTCGAATGTTACTTTTTGTGTCTGTGATATACTAGCTATTTTTGATATCCGCTTGTATTTTGAAATGTTACCTCACTTCACTTCTCTTGACAGTTCAACCTAACGTGATTAAACGTCCCTGCAATGTGTCCACGGCAGTGTGCTGTTTTTTTACCTTGAAATTAGGGATACATTGTGTTTCATAAAGTTTCATGCATATGACTACCAGGAACTACTTGCTGACGGCACCCCTCCACTGCAGAACCTGTACTTTAACAACCAGCTGGTCACATCGATGCAGGTCATCGAGTTTAGATGGGCTGTTTTGTTTCGTCACTCACTTCGTGTCATTGTCTTTGGAACTGGGAAGCATGACTTAGACATTCCGAGCGTATTTGGGAATCAACGATACAAATATCAGTAGAAGCCCTGGCTGTTACTGTGCGAATGCTGGTGAATAGGCTGGCGCTGTATACCTTGGCAATTATCCTGCACGTTCAGCAGACAAATTACTGCTAAATGACTTGGCTAAATCACCATCATTACCATTATCGGACAACCATTTCGAGTACACCGTCGGCTTGTTTATATGAATGTTTGAATCGCCTATGACCATCATCTCGTCGTATTGCATCGCATAATGCCAAGATTGTGCAGATTTTCATGATCGCTCATAGCGATGGCAACGATGTAGGCTTATCGATCAAGGGAAGGGTCTACAATGCTGTGCTGTAACTGTTGCTATTCTGTGAACCAAAGATATTGCCTCCGCGCATTGGAGTTTTAAGCTACTAAACATCCATACGAATTGTCGCTCACATTTGGTTGGAGCACTGAGTGACTAACATCGAAATTCGTAGTGTTCAGCAACAGGCTATGCGATACTTCATTGGAATATTTGTTTAATTCATGTTGGTCCCCTCTACCTCAGTCTCGTGCTACGCACACTTGAAAACCGGCTAGATTGAGGTTATTGCTGTGCCTAGTTGGGTTAAATCTCATAACGGCCACTAGGTGATGTAATGAAAGAGCAGGAAGAAGCTCAGCAAAGGACTAAACTGGGTTGGTTTTTGACTTCTTGACTGCATAGTAGCCGGCTGCTAGCTTACCGGAACGATGCACATCCGTTACCGGTAGCTCAGCTGACTTGCACCTGTTGCATATTCTTCTCATTTTTTCCTCTGTGTATTGCGGCACAGTACCTGAGGTGTTTCCCACCTCTAGCTAACGTGTCTAATGATGAATGATCTTGAAAAGGAACCCGGGATGGATCGCGCATGCGATTGGATATCTTATCACTTATCGCACAGTTACAAATAAAGTGGAGTACTTATATTCATTGCTATGTTTGTGACAGTTACTTTTTCTATCTGATATCAAATTTGGTCCACTTCTCCTCATTTATAGTTTTCCTTCTTCTTATGTTTATTATTATAAGTTAGACACATTATATCAAGACCATTGTATCCACCTACTTCGGTGTATGTATCCCAGTTAACTAACTGAACCGCCTCCAAACGTTCGGTTCTATTAGTTTAAGAATCAGCTTTTTATCATTCACTCGGATGTTCGCATTGATCCTGGTCCTGTACATTACAAGCGCCTACATCATCCACTGACGCCCAGCAATCAAGAATGAACTCACTGACTAAACACCTCATAGCAACTTGGTAGTAATTGCCCAACGCTCTCGTCTTTCGTCTTATTGTTTCATCATCCTTGCGCTTCTTCGATGTCTCTATCCAACCGCATAAATCGCTTCATATTGATTGGCAGGTGAAGATAAGCGATTTGTTTGATAAAGAAGAAGAGTGCGCGCCATGGAATTTTGCGCTCAAATGGTGTTCTCTGGCTAACTAATCCGAGAGAGAAATTTATTTTCGGGAATTGATTCGCTATCTTAACAGTGCTATTTGCTTCTCAGCTGACCAGCAAGGCGATGCTGGTCAAATTTTACCCGATAATACAACTTCTTATTCGCATACCATCCACTTAGGACTGACCACACAACCATTTACTTTGTCTACAGGAACATTCAATTGTTTTCATATTCTGCCCGAGTTTACATCACAGTCATGTTTGACCGCAGGCAAATTTTAGCTAGTTGACACCCACTAGCGGATACCACTCTTGAGTATTACAGATAGCAATTAAACCATTCTTACTACCAGAGTTAACATGTGGTTTTTATGTGCATAGCCAAGCGAATTGTACTTCTGTGCACATACTGTGATTATGTTCTGATTAAGAGCTACCATAGCCCTCTCCTCCACCTAAGTTGAAACCGTGTTTGCTTTAAACACCAGTATATTATGTGGTCTTTGAGGACACCTGGAACGGGCTACCCAGCGTCACTGGATACTGCCAAGATTTATAATAATTAACCATAGCATATCTGTATCTTATATTTCCCAATGCTTTGTTGTTACACTGCACTGAGTTTATTCACGTGGATAGCTTAGGATTACCGATATAGATTACAGGCACTTCTCTTTCTTCCATCTCCTGAGGTTGGTGAATATATATATATATATATATATATATATATATATATATATACCAGTCCATTCTAGTTAATAGGCTCTATCCTAGCCCACTTCTTATAACTTAACTTATCGAAGGAATTCTGGATTTCTGCATTTTCACTAACCTGAAAAACGTTGTTGTCCATTAGGTCTTGGCGCCATGCACGGTATCATAAGTCGATTCCAACCAAACCTGATGTCCTCAGACCATGGTCACAAATCTGCCTAGGAATCCGAGGGCACGGGTTCAACCCGCACGTTATCGTTAGCCCACGCGCGACTTATGGTGGTTGCATAGCGGTGGAGCGTCGGTACTGTGTACCAGCGTACTGCTGATGCTTATGTTATCTTGGTCAGCTCGTCTGATGGTGTACTGGGATGATTTCTCTTACACCATCTAGTTATTTGTTCTCCGTACTTTTTCACGAAGCTACAGGGATGTTTATGGTCGGGTTTCAATGCACCTGCTGCGTGTCTTACATCGCGACACGCAGTCTTAATTGTGGCCTCGGCGGAATTTGAAGTGAGCCTCTGCGATTTCGATCACTGGGTTTCCTTGTTCCTCTCTTCCGTCACTGCACTCCACGACGAGTTTAGCCCTTGTTTAAGCTCATCTTATAGAGAGTCTGTGAGTGGAATTTGGCACGTAATTGTTGGCGGCTATCGCCTTAACCACTAGCCACCAATTAGCCCAGCGATTGATGTATGACAAGGTGCTCAAGAATTGATTGTCAACAAGGCTGCGTTTAGAGTCGAGTCACATGACAAACAAGGTTGGGTCCACACTACCAAACCTTCAGTTTTGGTTCAATGGCGGCCAGCTGCACAAGTACCCCAGGTGGCACGCATACGTCTACAATATCCGACGCTAGTGACACCTAGAAACATTGAACGATTGACGCGGTTACCATATACTTGCGGTGGCCTGCTCACACTTAATTATTCTCGGACGAGTGCCTATCTCTCTCTAGGAAATGCTTGGACGACCAACTTGTGCACTGCAACGGGAACAGTGCATGAGACGGTGGTGCTGCGCAACAGTTTATTAAGTTCTTAGTTCAGAGCGCCTTCGGCAACAGCAGAGCTACCATCGCTTGGTGCGTACTGGACAACGACAAACTAATGGCGTCCGCCATTGCTGACTGTGCCCATGGTACTTGAGGCTTGCAAACGAAGCACACCAATTTGTTCACAGCAATCTGATGAACGGTCGAAGTTTCAGAACTTGCGCCGGCTTCAGCTTCAGTTGTGCTTTACAGTTCCTCCGGACGCATGCAGCAGCCAACGAAAGAAGGAGCTGCAGTCGATTAGTTCGATTGCCTCTAGAACAGTGGTTATCAATCCTTTTGAGGTTGTTATCCACAATGCGGGTTCACTATTAATAATTACCCCAATGTTTTAGTTTTTATAGCTAGTTAACTAATAGGTATTGCATTTTTGCACTAAATGACAGAAGTGAATACAATTGTTAATTACGTAGGAACATTTAAATAATATGTTTTTGAGTAACTTTTTTAACAAGTCAAGAGTTGCTCTACTTCAATGCGATGGTTGATATTGTTTAGTTCCCGGACAACTTCTGGTATCTTTAATACAGTTTCGGCTAATGCACATCAAAAGTCGTTCTCCAGTTTCGTTCAGTTCCTTGCTTACGTGTGTCATCCATGATCAAACATGAACAGATATCAGTGGCTTTTCATTTGTTCCAAGAAATATTTCCTAGAAGACAGCTTCCCATCAGCACTGTATCGATACCTCCTAAACACCAATCGCCTGTTGTGTCCCCTCTACCTTGTAAACATTTGTTAGCTTCTTTACCTGGTCGCCTTAGTGTTCACACAACCTTCTACTTGGACCCGGCGAACTACTGGATGACTCCAAAGAACAGCGATTGACGAACGAGCCGATAGAAGTGCCACCTAGCTGCGCTGCTTTACCGGCTTTCATTCGTGTTCTGTCATCGAGACCACCGCGCCCACAAACTGTATCATTGATTCGCTGAAACATGAATTCTATCACTAACTGAACATTCTCCTCCATTGCAAAGTAAGTACGGATATCGTGATGCTTGCTGGTGATCTGAACGCCCAGTCCGGACAATTACCTTCTGATGAGCTTCGTCTGAACGGCCAGCATGGTGGATGCTCTCGTAATCACAATGGTGGGCGGTTGCTACACCTGTGCGAGCACTAATTTTAGACAGCACTCGCAGAAGATTGACTTGGTGCCCACCAGTCATGAACGCAAATCGAACACATGGCGATCAGTTACCGCTGGTGGGGCTGTGTCCAAAACTCTCACTCGATTTGGAGCACCAGCATAGACTCCGATCACGCTCTTGTGTGTGCCGACCTGCGGCTGCGTTTCGGCGGACATCCCGAACGCCGCTGTGCGCGCATAGACACCAGCCAACTGGCGAAGTCAGGCGTGCTTAATGCGTATCAAAGTACGCTAGCATCCGAGCTGAGTAATTGCCCAATAAACACGAAGATCACTGGTGGCGTATTCGCCAGAAGTTACTATCAGCAAACATGTCCTCATGTGGCAGATCAACTTGCCAACCTGAACAATGGGTCTCTACACAGTCTCTGGGACTTTTCGATGCTCGCCGGCGTATTCTGGCTGGAAGCGAACATAGTGGGACACGCGAAAATCTCATGAAAAAATTCCGTGCTATCCTGAAGTGAGACTGCGAAACAGCCGCTGCTCTTGGTAAACATCGCGTTATTCCGTCTGATACGGGAAACGAGCAGCAGGAGACCTGGTGTTAGCGTGGTCATACGCGACCAGGGTGGACAACCAATCCACAGCTGGTCCAAACGCTTAGAGCGTTGGGCCGAATACTTTGCGAAGCAATTCAATCGGACAGAGTAGTCGGCTTCTCCAGCGTCAATTGATCCCCGGACTCCCTAGACCATTCTCGTGAATTCGCGCTCACGCACAGAAGTCGAACGCGAGATCAGATTGTTGAAATTGCATAAGTCCGCAGGGGCAGATAAAATTCCTCCAATCCACTTTAAGTGCGGCGAATCTGCTCTTGTAGAGGATTTACACTAGTGAAACTTTAGCAACAGGAAACTGTCCCGACAGACTACAGCCGCTCCGTCATGTTCCCAGTTTTCAAGCGAGGCTACCGTTCGGAATGCGGTCATCATAGAGGGATCAGTGTGATCTCAATTGCCTCTAAATTGCTTGCGTCTGTCGTTCTCCACAGACTGACAGGCACTCGTGAAAGTCATATTTTCGAGGAGCAAGCCGGGTTTCGTCGAGGTCGTGGTTTCTTCGACCACATCTTTACGTCAATTGTTGGAGCATCGCCATACTTATTGCCGACCCGACGTAGTCGTGTTTTTCGACATCCAAGGTGCCTGTAATTTGGTTGATCAATGTTCCTTTTGGGACTGTCTGCAGTGGAAAGGTGTGCCCGGTAAATACGTAAAGAATATCAGAGCTCTATGCCCGCAGGGTGAGGGTTTATGGCAAACTGTCATCGCCCTTTAGTATATCCAGCGGTATGACACAAGGTGGCCCGTTGGAATCTCTCCTCTTTAACTTCGCAGTTGACGAAGTCATGGAAACAGCGTTCGCTGGACACGAGCCTCTTCCTAGTGATCGACTTCTTTACTTGGAGTATGCTGACGACATTGCCCTTATCTGTGACAGCACCCATACTTGCTAAGCAGCACTGGACTGATTAACACTGGCTGTCAATTGTTTTGAGCTATGCTTTGCTCCCTCGAAATTTAAAGTCCTTCAAGATTGGCAATGACCTACTTCTGCGCTGACCCTCGTTGGCAATCGGCTAGAAATCTTTCAAGAATTCAAGTATCTATGCAGCTTTATTATCGCCCATGGGATTGAAGGTGAGGTCACGAAGCGTATAGCGAAAACTCGAATTGCTTTTGCCAATCTCCGCCACTTGTAGCGCCAAAGCGATGTCACTCGCCCTGAAATACTTAGTTTACAATACAGTCATCCGTTCAACCCTTCTGTACCGTTATGAAATATGGTCCATCAGGTCGACAGACATAAAGAGGCTCGTCACATTCGATCATCGCTGCCTTCGCAGCTTAGCTCATGTCTGGTGGGAGCACCGCGTGCCCAGTGAATACGTTCGGCGTCGCGTATTTGACGCAGGAAGAGCGAGTGATCTGTTCAGCACCATTATATAATGCACCAGACTCCGATGGGTGGGCCACGTGTTGCCCATACCAGCTCACCGATTCCCGCGACGTGGGTTGTTTGCGCCCAGCGGTGTTACTGGAAGACGAGGAGGAGTGGCCAAGCGTTGACTTGGTCAAGAGGAATGAAAACCCTCATTTCGAAGTAGGCGCCGATTGATGCATCGCGACTTTCGAGCTGGGATCCTAAGGACGATGAACACGTTTGGTTTGACACACTCGCTTACTTGGCTATAAGCCGGTCTCAATGGCGTTTGTGCCGTGAGTTTCTTTGTCCAACCCCTTTCCTTTAGATTCCCCTTCCCCCCAGTCACGGTCTCATAGCAAATTAATAATATGAGATTTAACATTACGTTACTCGATTTTTGAACATTTTCGTATTGTTATTTTTACTATCATATTTTTTGAGGCGGCACATTAGCAGAGGCATGTTTCTCGCCTTCAGCGAACGTGTATTTAGGATGCTTATTCGTATTATTGATACTACCATTTATTTCCGCAAATTTTCTAATTCAGGAACCACCCGCTAAGGATTACTCACGGATGGTTTATAAATAGTGATTAGGTGGTTTGTTACATGTTTTGTTATATATGATTTGTTATTAATTTTTTGGGTGACCGATGGAGGACTCAATCTTTTTATTTTTATATACCCTTGTAAAGTTCCATTCTATCACCTTGGTTATGAATGACTTACCGAAGATGTCGCAGAACATATTTTCGCAGACGCGGCACACGTAAACCTCTGTTATATCCGGTGTGCGTTCAAGTGTAGCCTATTGATTTATCAGTAGCGGACCCTTAGGGAAATGGGTTACTTTATTGGAAGCTTGTGAGGGCCAAGGACTATTGGGCGCAATAGGTATACAAATACTAGAACTTCATTAGAGCCGTGGTTGCGATACTTAAGCTTAACTATGAGTCGCAAACTGATTGAAGAGAACCGGACCGAATTTACTCGACTGGTCCGTCAGTCAACGCTTTGTCAACTGCTTCGTGAATGAGCAACCTGAAAGCCGAACGAAGAGTTAGAGAGTACCGGGAAGCTACAACCGCGAACGCCTCATGTTCACATTGACTGGTCACTTCATGGAAATTCATGCTTATCGATAGCATTCCATACCTCACGAAACCGTTCGCTCTAATCACACACCAAGGTCTTGATTAACGTATTTTTGATTGTTAAATTACACAACTGATGAGTGCCTCCGGAAGATTAGTGCGTCCATTCCATTGTTTATTGTACCTTGGTATCCATCTGTAGTGCTGCAGTCCGCAGGCACACGCTGCAATGTGTTTTCTTGAGGCAGTTACGATGGTTCTGAGTATATTTCACACAAACCAATGCGAATCGACTAAATCTGAGACCCCATTTTGTGAAAAATGCCTTTTTATTCTCTTGTTTCCTCACTCCGTTCATATGTGTTGCTTCTGATTGCATAGCATTATTAATTTATGTGAGCATTTGGGCGCGACCCTTGTTACCTTGGTGAAAATCCCTTGCGGGCAACGCCCAAAAATTAACCTGCTTCGTCAATTATGATTCCAGTGGTCGAATTGACCAAACTTTATCTCATGATGAATCCCGATCCACGTTGAGATTGAGCGCCATATGCATTCACAAAATGAATGCTTTAAAACGGTCTCTCAAATTCAGATGTTTTTATTTTCTGTATTCTGTTCCTAACTCCTAATTTCCGTTTGCTCTGTGACGGCGTTGCTTGTGATCATCGTCTATCACTTGCAATCAGCTGTGCATGGTGCGCCATTTATTTAGCTTGTTTCCTCTATCTACGAAAGCGATCAGATTGTAATCAGCATTTAGATTTTAAAACATCGCGTTCTTTTTGACTGATGATCGATGTGAAGTGTGCTGCACTCGTCATCGGGTTTGATCATTTTGCTCGGTCACAATAGCAACTGAGGCACACCCTAGTTACCGCTGCTAACATAAACGCAGTGAACACGGTTACCCAAGGCCATATGGAATGCCATTCCATTTGTATTAGGTCGTTTTGTTATCCAGAGTACAACTGAATCATACTCCAAAGAGTCACCAATGAGAAACCAAGTGAACGTAGTGCGAAACCGAAATGTCATGGGGTAACCTGTCTACGGAGTCAAATTTGGTATGGCTACGCTGGTCAAATTCGTCTGGTTTCAAGCACTGTGCTCGGGCAAACTCTGTGTTGTCAAACGGTTGTTATCAGACAGCGCAGACCACGCAGCTATAAGGATTCTCATGCGCTTCCTCAAATCGCTATTGCGGAACCTCGTTTCCAATTCACTACCAGGATCATCTCTTGATATCCATCACCGATAGCTTCCTATCTTTGCAGCTATTACCATTGTTGTACAACTTAACACTCACTTCATTATTACTAGCGGCTTAATAGCATCTCAACACATAAATCGTTGAAGTGAATAGATGTAATATCGCAAGCACGAATGACGTAATAGCTCATTAGGTATATTATCATTACGAGGCAGCTATTTAAAACAGAAGAATAAGTAATCAAATGAGTTAGGTCGGACCGGACCAGCTGATTGCGGAGTTAAGCACATCTGTCTTTACAGTGCTCCTTCATCATGCCTGGTTTGTGGCAGTCATCCGCACAGTGTGCCTTCTTTTCCTTGTCGTGGCATTCGTCTTTACAATGGTGGGGGTCAACTCCGGGTTTGTGACAATCGTCTTTGCACGGAGCCGATGTATGGCACTTCTCTTTGCAGTCATCAGCGGATTTATGATGAGCGTGTTCGCCTGTGTACAAGAGAACAAACAAAATCATTTTGTATAGTGATAGGTCAATTCCTGTCTGAAGCAAACACGATTTTGAGATAGTTATGGATTAAGCTTTGTATGGCTAGCGAATTGGATTGAGGAATGGGTCGACTACTTCGCCAGTTAGCAGAAACAGTTGCTGGAACTGTCGTATTATATCGCTCCAGAGGAAAATGATCTACTTCAGGAGCATGATACCTACGATGTGCAGTAGTTATGAAAATGCATGCATGATCCTTCTGTGGGAAAGAGGTTGAGGTCAGTGGAGTGACAGGAACGCGTGATACCACGTGTTTGAGCAGAGAGAACGCAAAAAATGTGCACACAGTTCTGGATGTGAATGCCGATGCAAGTCTCAGGTACATCCAGGTACTGATGTATGATTAAGTCCAGTTTATTTCGCAACATTAGATGGGACCAGACGTATGTAGTTCGTACCCAGTGACATTGCTTTTAACACATGTTCGTGTATATTGTGATGCTCTTTAGGGTGCGAATACAACCGTTCACCTCTCGGCAGTTATCCATCAGTTACCTCGTGACGGAACCGAACTGGGTATGGAACTGAACTAAGGCGTTTTTGTTGCAAAATCGCTCGTCAACAATACAGACGTCACCGCATGTGCACTTACGAATTGCTTCCAAAATCGTGCGTTTGTTAGGTAGTTGGTTAATTTATAACCATTAGTCGATAAATTCCAACCCGCTGACTATGCCTCTTCGCACATGACAATAAACGATGCGCCACTAATTCCATTGGAGGCGTTGCATATTAACGATTGAATTCACACTACTCGACTAACTGGTTACATTGTCTCCACGGTGTAGTAATACTTTGAGAACTGATTTGGGATAGCTTAACTTATCATGAGAGTTTATCAGGTCTATCGGATCAGTTGTTCGCTGAGACGTGACTTTTTTGTCACGCAAACTCGTTCATCTTATTGATCTATTCCGTAACTATTCAATTTAACATTTTAAACTGAGTATAGGGTTATGCTTATGGGAATTCGGATATGAAGGGTCAGTCGCAGGTGCTAATGGCCTTGATCTCATTTACAGGAAAAAAATAAGCTAAGAAGCTCTGATTTTTTCATATTTGCATGAATGTATTTACGGCTGTTTTCGCCTGTCACTTGAATGAACACGTCGCTCTGACCCATTTGTTTACTTAAATGGCCATCAGTCTACCTAATCACGAATGGTTACGCCAGATGTGGACCGAATTATGTATCCGGATGATATTCGGAGTCGTGACTGTAACGTGGACTAGCACTGTTATAAACCAATTAATTTTAACTCATATTGTGCATGCGAGCAGAAACTGTTTAGATATATCTACGCCTGAAATCTTTGAATTCAGCAGTGCGCCTGTTCGAATTTAGTTTCTCATACACGGTGTGTTTTAATCTCACCTCATATATTTGAAAGTTATAGTGGATTTCACCCACATTGGGAGTTAACAGAACGTGCCAACACTTTGTGGGAATTTACGAGTCCAGACAGTATAAAATGTTTGTTTCCTGTTAAGTTACTTATCTTGATTGGCACTGTAGGTTAACCAGGCCTCTTGGTATATCATCACGATAGGTTACGAATACATTCATAGTGCCGTCCAATTTAGAAATCATTTGCGTTACTCTCAACGAATAAAAGAACTCACCGTGGCCTGACATCTCTTGAGGTGGATTTTGACGTGAGCGAAAACTAGCCGTGTCCTGTCTAACTACGGATTATGGTCGCTGGTTTATATATGCAGTCACACAATCACGTGAATGCGCCGCTTCCGGTTCCTCGTGAGTGTCCTGAAGCGCATGCCAAATTTCATTTGGCATATTAAAATTTTCACAACCGAACTTGACTAATGGAGCGATAACGGTGTTGATTCCGCAGTGTTTACAATGGCAACCGTCTGTTCTCTACATGAACGGTGTAATTGACCTCGGACCGAACGTGCGACTGTGGGGTGAAACCAGGACAAGGTCGAAGATGGTCTAGGGTACAGTACGAATGGTTATCAAAGCCAATTCGGACAAAACTCGAGAATATGCGCTCAATCAAAGCAACTAAGTCGTCATAGGTTGCATGACCAGGATGACAATGACTGCGTTTGCGACTGGGCAACCGAACACAGGAGCCGGAATGAGTGCGCGCATTTCTACGGGTGTTTACTGTACACCACTTATCCGTATGACAAGAGGTGGACTCTGTATACAGTTTATAAGACAAAGGATTGGTGGGCAGGTGATTGGGTTCCAAATGGGGGAGACCAGAGGGCTAACCGAGTTTAGTGAGTGTTCGCGGGTTCCGATCGTGGTGTGCTCTTTGTGGGTGCCGGAGAGATTAAGGTCACAGGGCTTGCATACGTGTGTATGTGAACGAACAATGGAAAAATTGTTTATGAAGGCTAAAATAGTATTGGGTTAACGTGTCCCATAGGTTGGAAGGAACTGCCCATTCGTATGCTAATAAGTGTAACAAATGAACTGCGTATCAGTGAAGCGAAAGAGTATTGGACAAAGAAATTGGACCTTAGGAATAAGATAGTACCGTACACAACATAATATCGTTCTGTTATATTAAATGTGAATAGCGAGTAGCAAACGGCTTTCTCACCCAACTGCGCAGATTTATGTGCGTCAAGGTGGGCTATAATAACAAAGAAGCTAGTTAGCTTGACAGTATCCCAGTGTACACGTTCATGTGGCAAATTGAGGGAGCTGAAAGCGATATCCAATAGATTGTTAATTGATAATGCCCATGGGAATGTTAGAAAACTCGGTTGCGAAGAGAACACTTTTCGGCAAATCATATCAAGCAAATACGGTTGCAACATCGACAGACAAAGGTACAAGCTAATGAAAACTAAAGGAATTGAAACAGATGCACGTGATGAATGATTCGTTACTTGATCGACTAAAACTTCATTTCTCTCAACCCCGGCTTTATGGTTTACCCAAAGTGTACAATCCGGAAGTCCCCTTCCTTCCTATAATTGATGTGCCGGCTTCTGCTTTCCACTCAGTCGCAAAATGGATTGCCGACGTACTGGAACCAGTACGTAAAGAGTTATGCATACATTCTCTGAAAGATATTTGCAATTGTTGAGCAAGTTATGGACTTGAAGGTAGAATGTACGTTGATGCTCTCCTTTGATGCGGAGTCACTTTCACTAACGTCCGTAACTGGAGACTGTCAACTTTATTTGCGAATAAATGAAAGAAAAAGGATTTAATGTTGGCATCTCGGAACAGAAAAAGGAAACTACTCTTGCGATGCACATTTAGTAGGCAGTTCCTGTTTGATGGAGCTTTTTATCGGTAGATCAACGGAGTTGCTATTTTCTCACCCCTAGGATCTCTCCTCGCAGATGTCTCTCTCGCTAAGTTTGAACCTGGTCTTATTCCAGCTGTTATTGCTTCACTGGATTACTACTACAAGTACCTGGATGACACGTTTGTTATCTGTTACGCTAACGTTGATGTCCTCAGTTTACTCAATCAACTCAACGGTGCGCACCCATCAATGAGGTTCACCAAAGAAATCGAAATAGAGGGACGGTTGAGGTTCTTGGAAGTACAGCTGAAGAGACGGGAAGATGGTTATCTTGAGAAAAGTACCTTCCGGAAGGCTACGTGGGTGGGACAATCCGCACATTTCCTAAGTTTCGTGCCTCTGAGGTGTAAACGTAACAGTTCACTGCTTGTATCACCGAGTCTCGGAAATGCGCAGCCTAGAAATCCTGGACAAGGAGAAAGAACGCGTATATGGCACGTTGCTTCCAAACGGCTACCCTGCCACATTTATCAAAAAGCATGCTACAATCCGTGAACAGAGTGAGGCTGTCATCTCAGTCTCCAAAAGGGATGTGTTTCTTACGGTTCCCTTTAATGGTGACATCGCTTTTGAGCTACTGAGTAGGAGGCTTTCCTCCGCACTAACCTACCCGGTCGCCAATCCGCACGTTTTTGCGGAGACCGTTCCATTATTGCGCGGCGCCTTAAGGACAGATTAGCGTTCAAGCTTGAATCGTATATGGTATGGCAATTTGCTTGCACCTATGATGCAAACTACCTCGGGCATACGACCAGGCGTGTGTCCACACGGATAGCTGAGCATTGTCCTGGGTCTCTGCGAAAAGGTATTGTCGGGAGTATTAGGAGTTCCATCCTAGAACATCTGTTTCAAACTTGACACGGACTTCCGACTAACAATGCTTTCCGCGTTTACTACACTGTGCAAAGCAATACCTAAAGGGGTTTAGAAGACGTCTTCTAAAGATAGCCGAAGTGATTGCGATTAAGTTAACGCAACCAGAGCTTTGTAAGCAGAGGATGCTGTTGCAATCTCTCACTTTACCGTGGCCATAACGAAAATCCATCCGCATGGGACATTGATAATGACCGAATGTGTTGCGAGCATTAACTTCCGACATAGCACTCGCTGGAAAGTGACTTGGCACCCACCAGCCTCGAACCAGCTATGGACGCAAATCGATCATATTACGAGCAGTATCCACTGGAGAGGCAGCTTCCAGAACTGTCGCTCGACTTGGAGCACATTTGTGGACACCGACCATACGCTTGTGTGTGTCTAATCTGCTGCTGCGTTTTGGCGGACCCCCACGACGACCTTATGAGCGCATTGACACCTACCAACTTTCGAAGCCAACTGTTCTGAATGCGTTTCGAAGTACGCTGACATGTGGGCTGAGTAAGCGCTCAGTGAATACCATTGTTAGTCACTGGTCGCATGTTCACCAGACCTTACTAGCAGCAGGCACATCCTCATGTGATAAGTCTAATAGCCAACATGGACATTGGGTCTCTTAACGGTCTCTGGAACTTATCGTTGCTTGCCGGCATATTTCGGCTGGATGTGAACACAATGAGACTCGCAAAACTTTCGTGCAAATCTCCATGCTAGCCTGGAGAGACTGCGAATCCTGGTGTGTCTTCGTGTGTTCGAAATGAAAGTGGCCGATACCCTTGATAACCATTGGAAGTTATTTCGTCTGACGAAGAAACGAACAGTAGGATACCTGGTGTTAGTGAAACTATACGTTGGGAGAGTGGACAACGTATCTGCAACTTGTCAAAACGGTTGCAGCTTTAGACTGAGCACTTGGAAGGGCGTTTTAATCGGTCGGAATTGTCAGATTTCTCGCCTGCCCCTGATCGCCCTGCTGTGTCAGCTGTCCCTTTGCATTCACCCTCTCGTTCAGAAGTCTAACGTAAGATCCTATTGCTGAGGTTGCATAAAGCCACGGTACCAGATGATCTACCTCCCGTCCTCCGCAAAATCCAGAGGGTTTGCTTTGGTGGATGATTTGCACGAGTTACTAGTAAAATTTTAGAACAGGAAACTGTCCCAATCGACCGGAGCCGCTCCGTTGTAGTCACTATTTTTAAGGTAGACTCACGATGGAAATGCGGTAACCATAGAGGAATCAGTTTGATCTCCATCGCCTCTATATTGCTTGCTTTTGTCATACTTCACAGACTAATTAGCAATCTTGAAATCCAGTTTAGTGAAGAGCAAGCCCGGTTTCCTTGAGGTCATGTCTGCATCGATCACTTATTTGATTTGGGTCAGCTGTTGGAGCACCGTCACATATATTTGCGACCCATCGTTGTCGTGTTCCCCGATATCAAATCTGCTTTCGATTCGGTTGGTCGATGTCCTCTCTGACTCTCTACTCAAGAAAGGGGTGCCTGAAAAATTTGTGAACGTTATCAAGGCGTTCTAAGCGCGCAGCTGAGGCAGAGTAATAGCTTACGGCAAGCTGCCATCCCCCTTCAATATCAGCTGAGGTGTGAGACAAGGATACCCGCTGTTACCTATACTCTTTAACTTTGTCATTGAAGAAATCATGCAGATCATGTTCACAGGTCATGACTTAAAAGGTGTGGAGCTGCTCCCGGGAGAACGAATTGTTGACTTGGAGTATACTGACGATATTGCCCTCATCTGTGACAGCTCACAAACGTGCCGAACTGCACTGGACAGATTAGTACTGCCTGTCAGTTGATTCGTGCTTTACTTTTCACCCTCGAAGTGCGAAACTTTCCTCGAAGATTGGCATGGACCGCCTACTGCGCTGACGCTTGGTGACGATCAGCTGGGAGTCGTTCAGAAGTTCAACTACTTTGAAAGGTGTATCAGCGGCCTTATGATGGAAGATGTGGTTGCGAACCGTATAGCAGAAGCTCGAGGCGCTTTTGCCAACCATTGCCACATATGGCACCGGCGCGCAAGTATTCTCTCCATGAAGGGTAGGGTGCACAAATCAGGGGTAATTTCGACCCTACTGTCCGCTTTTTAAACCTGATGATCCAACTAGAACAGCTATAGAAGCAGCAAACGCGTTGCGGACGTCATATGCTCCCACACTTCAGAGGATCTTACCAACAGGTCATCTGGCAACATTTGTTTTCCCGTCTCCAGAACTCACACACATCTCTTTTACTGCCGAAGCTGTATGGCAGTTGCTGACCTCTGTGCACCCACAGCTCCCCCGGAGTAGACACTAAAACGTAGTACCGCTAAGCATATAACGCACGCTTCCGAGACAAGTAATCCCAACAAGCAGAACACGTCTGAACAGCAGCAGGTTATTCGATCAATTGAGGACGGTGCAAGACTCACGGAACTCGTGTTGCGAGACCGGGGGTGTGTCAGATTATTGGCTGGCTGGTGTGAGTGGTAACCAATCCACGCACAGCTGAAGTAAACGGATCGAAGTCATTTGTGTACGTGACCACCCCTCATCTTGAAATGTTCACACTCCTGGCACAAAATGG